ACCCACTTCCTGGAGCAATTCCAAAAGAAAAAGCCAACAACAGAAAACGAACTTGAGTCACAAGACTTAACAAAGAAAATTCCCCCTGCAGCAGGTTCAAATTTGATACACACAGTAGTTTAATCTGAAGGTGTGGAATCTGGAACTGGAACCTATGCATAAGGAGTCTACTTTGTTGTTTCCAGGTGCCCCCTGAAAGTTTTACTGTGAGTAGATACAAACGAGTAGCAAACACAAAAAAAGGAGAAGAGATAAGGATGACAGGAAGGGAAAGAAGGAGCAAATTATACCAGAGCATCCGCTTATTTTTAAAATCTACCGTATACTTGGCTTCGCTATAATAGATTAGAACATTACTTGTCAATCTTTCAATAGCCAGTACCCACTTTTGCCACCTTTGAGAGTCTAAAACTTTTTATACCACACACTTGTAGCATTTCAAAGCCGTGGCATTAAATAATGACTGTCACTACCCAAGTGATCACCATCGCCCATTAAAAAGCCCAATTTGCTCATGAGTGAGCGATATCGCCCACAAGGTTAGCAAGCATTGGATCAGAAGATGAACTAGACAGTGAAATTAAAAAATACTTTTAAGGAACAGAAACACATGGAAAATGATGTTGATGTAGGATGCAGAGATTTTTTAAATAATGTATATTACATTCCATATTGAAATCAATAATTATCATTAACTACAATTCAGCTGCACTTGCATTTCTTTCATTCTTTTCTTGGACAAAGAACAATAATTTATCAAATTCAGCACAACCATCAGTTATCCCTGTAACTTCACAAGACATAAAAACGTAGCCTCATTTCTTGGGAAAAAATCAGCCCCCCCCCATTTCCAAGACTTTTTCATGGGATAAGTGTTGTTTTCAAAATAGTTGCTATCATCAACACATGTTCTAATTCCATCTTATTTTTACTGATTACTATGCAAAAAGTGATGAAATGAGAACAGAACAGAAAATTCAGTCGGCTCATCCCCCTAGACCTAGCCACCATTCATTGACTTGAGCACAGATAACAATAGGTCTTGATGTGGGACTTGGCTTCTGAGAGGTTAACACTGCACTTAGACCTCGTCACAAAATCTAAACAGAATACGTTCTCACACTCACTGCTCATCTAAATACAGTCGGGCACAGATAACAAGTTGCGGATCGACAAATATGTTCCACACATCCATAATTTGGGTCGACCGAAAACAAATAATTAATGAGATATCTGTCAGGGAATTGCAAATTGTGTGAGCTATCTGTGATTTTGAGTTTCTGTGTTCGAGTTATCTGTGCCCGACTGTCATCATTTTTGACGGACGACAAAGACATGACGGAAACAGTAGCTCAAATATAAAGAGTAAATATACAAACTGTGAAATGTAAAACTACACATCAATATCCTTAAAGCAAAAAGCGAAGTAAGTACGCTATCACAGACCAAAACAAATGCATACGTAAACCATCTGAATTAGCTCACATCTTCAGCCATAGCTCAGACATAAACATTCAAAACAGACTTAAGTTGGATGGATTGAAGCAAATATCACATATTTCAAAATCGGTCTCAACAGGAAGAGTTTCTTTGCTCTGTATCAGTAAAAAGGAAAGTCTCAGGTGTATCTATTGCAAATTATGCTAATAAAATGGAAATACATTAATGAATGTTTATATACTTCTAATCATAGAAATGTTCTTAAAAAGACCGGAAATCAGTTGTTTAATATGAACCTTAAAGATGTTTTCCTTTGACTGTTTAAGTTAGAAATTTGTAAAGGAAAAATGCCACAAAATGAGTATCATGGTGTTGCTAATTTATTCAATTTTGAACGAAGACTACCTTAATCCTTTTAAGAGATCTAATTCCCAGACCCATTTGCAATTCTAAAAGTCGCTGTCATCTAAATCATCCTGTGGAGGTTGATTCCGCCCTCTTGGTTGAGGTATTCCTTGCCCCATTCCTTGTCCCATGCCTTGAATGTCATCGTCGTCATCATCATCGTCATCATCATCATCCAAATCGATGTCTGAATCTCCTGATCCTTCTGATCCACTGTCCTGAAAAAGAAAGTTAAACAACATGTTTAGTCACAACAAGAGTACACAGACAGCTGATAACATTTATTTTGCCAAAAAACAATTTTATTGCAATGGGAATGCGAATTAACAGCTATATTTGATTTACTGAGCTCTCTCTTTAATCCACATTGTAGACAAAGTTATATAGTTTCTCTTCTAAATAAAATGATTTGGCAAAGAAAATAATATTTTTTTCGTATTAAGCCATTCGCCACCCCTTATTCACTGAATGTTATATCTTCCCTGTTTTACGATCATGGCAGCTAATATTTGGTGCACTTCACTTCCCACTTATGCTGTCTATAAATGAGTGCGTTTTTACACCTGCAAATATCTTAAAAAACTGATTTTTTGCACTTTATACTTTGTAAAATATTTAAATCTTTGACATGCATTGACTTAGTTGGGTTGACAGATTTAAACATGAGGAAATTAAACTAATATATGAACATTTTTCAGTTGGAAGCTGACTACCAGGAAAACTATCTACGTTCCCTAGGCAAGGCCTCAAAAAATTTTTGAAATCCTTTTAGTCCGACATTATTCGTCTTGCGTCAATTTTTTTGCTGGCTGATGATACATAAGTGTTCACACATAAGATTGTACAGCATTCTTTCAGGTAAGTTGGCATTCTGGCCAAAACAGGAAACTAGACTATCTTTAGTCTGAAAAAAGTGGTGTAAAAGGGTAATCAATCAGATCTTACAAGCCAAAGTTGCTGTGAGAGAGGACACCGACACATATTCTCCTACTCATTCAAAGCCATTTCAATATAAAGCAAAACTGAAAAGCAACTTTATATAAAAACTAGCTGGGCCCCCTTTCGATGAAAGGAATTTAACATCAACTAAAAGTCATTGGTCTACTGTATTAATTTACACTACCGGAATGGAACAATAAAAAAGCGATGATGGGCATCAAACGAAAGGATCGCAGTCAAATTTAGCTATAAGTAAAAAAAGAGAACATGAGGCTAGATCTATACGGGTTGCATACTTAAAATAGTGCTCAATATTGAGCGACAATGCGCGATAGTATCGGACGGAAGTACGACTTGAAATAAACAAACCTGGCGGATTTTCTAAAATTACAGAGACAGAAGCGTTGGCCTACAAAAGCGATCGGTGAAATAAAGAAATTTAGCTTTTTGCATCAAAACTGTCTCAAAACTGAAAAAACGAAGGGCGTCATGATCTGGAGAATATTTTAAAGAATCTTTTGGTAAAAACCGCATGTCGATCGATGCCGCCATTAAAAAGCCTTTGGAATAGCAAAATTCGGCCACCACAAATAGATAATAGAAGAAGAAAAGCTCGATTGAATATCCTACCCTGAGCCACCGCTCTCTCTAGTCCTCATGAAAAACACACCAAACAAAATAAAATATACAAAAGGATAGACAAAAAGCTAAACATAATAAGAACATGACTCATACCTCACTGATGTCTGGGTTCATAGTCCCCGTCACTCTGTTGCCACCCCTTTGCTGTCCTGCAGCTAAAGGACATACAGAGAAAGATATTTAACAATATCTATTTTAAAGCATTCTTTAGTAAATAAAATTCTGAAATAATATTTGAGAAATGAACATAATTTAAGCTGTGTTTCAAACAATAATCTGCTCTCGTTATCATGAGCTAGCAATGAACAATATAATCCTTGACAACAGTTTTCACTGGCTCATCAGGATATGAGGTAAGAGACAAAACAGTAAGCTCACCAAACGAGAAATATTAACATTATTCTTCTAAACTAATATAGAGTGTAAAGTGTATAGAGCTTGCTGTTGAGCGGTTATTTGTGCTCTACAAATGCTATTCATGATCTATTATTATGAGTTAAGTGGCTGAAACAACAAAATTGACAAAAAAATGAATTAATGCTTAGTCCCAAAATAAAATGGGACACTGAGGCATAGAATATTGGTGCTAAGGTTGAAATAGACATATTTACCCGTATGGAATAAGTTAACGCAGAGAGAAGTACAAAAAAGATTCAGACTATTATGAAAGTTAATGAAAACTTCAATTTGTTTCATAATGCAAAATTAACACATGAAAAAATTGAATAAAAACCAGCAACTTCAAATACAAAATCAAGCAAAAGTAGTCTTTTCTCACACTTTGCCTTAAAACTGAATTGCAATGACAGTTGCAGCTATGATGAGATATACATGAGTCCAATCAAGAATACAATCATTATTTCCAGCCAAGATCGGGAGGGAATAAGACTACTTCTGCCAATTCATTTAACAGAAAGAATAACATAATTAAATACAACAGACCAAACTCATTATATTACATCTCTTCCCTAAAAAGAACCTTCATCTTCATCCGACATATCAAAAGGATCATTGAGAATGGTGTTATTCTTTCGTGGAGATGGGTGCATGTCTGAAAAGTAAATCAATTCATTTAAACTATTTGAATTGATTGGGTGACTTCAGTAAGCAGGGAGGCCATTCTCAGAACCAGGAATGGCTCCAATCATAAACACATAAACATAATGCATTACACTTGAAAGAATTAAAGTCCCTTAAAAGTTTAAAAAAAATGAAAGTTGTGCTTTTTTCAGGAATCAAAGATGTCAGTTTAAGGCATTCATTAGAGATTTTTCATTGAACACATGCTGCAACAATTATAGCTGCTCAAGAAATAGCTTTCCTGAAATATTTCTGATGTCAAAAGCTGCTCTCCTTAGTAATATCTGGCACATCTTTAGAAGCTTGTTTGCTCATATTTTAATAATATAAGCCAAGTTCATTACGATTCTAAACAGGGTTTACTATGGAAGAGCTCAAGAGGCTGAAATCATGTATGCCTTCACTTAATTCTCGTAACGGAATTCCCTTCAGAATGTTGTAAAAGAAGAAAAGCAAGTCCATTCTATAATCTGCAAAAAAAAAAAAGGACAGGGCAGACTATGAAATAGACCCACAGAGTCATTGTCAGACGGCTTACCGTATAGAGATAGGCCATTCACTGACTGCACTACTTTAAGCTTTCGGAATTTAAGTCACCACTTAAACCTATGAATCATATAAAAAGCCACAAAACATGAATGAAAACAAAGGCATCAAGTGAAATAGACAATCCACATACAGCCATGTATGAGATGGTATAGCTGATATTCACCTAGTTTATCTTCATGGACATGTTTTCATTTGAATACATTATAATCATAATTAAAAACTAAAACCATCAACATCAATGTTAATGATAGTAAAAGAAAAAGGAAATAAAATTAGGTAGAATGACAGTTCAAAAGAGAAGTTTGTGCCTAAACCATGTAAAGAGTAAAAAGACAATAAACAAAGAGTTATGGTTACCTTCAGGCCTGACGCGATTAGACATACGATTCGGTGCACCCATGTCATCTGAATCGTTTTCATCATCATCATCTGTAGAAACAAAAAAATCATTCAAAGTAATGGGTTTTCTATAATCTCCAACTTCGAGCCCAATGAAGACGCAGAATTTTCCAAAATTGTTACATTGGGATTATAATCAGCAAAATCTGTGCAGGATATTACTGTAAATTGTGATCAATTGTAAATGTTTTACACCTCCAATGAGAAACACTGATCAGTTTGAGAGGCGGCTGTTTCAACCAATCCAAACAGACACGGCAGACTATGAATACAGCATCCCAGGAAACAAATGGAGATTCTTGATAAAAACTTCCTCACATGGGAATCAAAGTCACACCTTTTGTGTGAAATGGCAAAGAGCTTAACAAGTATACCAGAGCTGATGACCTGGAATCTGTATTTAAAAAATAGAAAATATATAAAAAATATTAGAGAGAATAAAGAATAAAATGAATTACCAATAATATTTTTGTCATCATCATCTTCAGGTGAAATTTGCTGATGCTTCCTCTCCTCAGTTCTGATCTTCTCAGCCATCACTTTGAGTTGCTGTTCAGTTTCCTGTGGAGAAAAATGTAATTCGTTTGAGAATGGCATGAACAGAGATGCCCAACAGAATTGAATTATTTAAAAAATTTGCTAATGAATTTGTCATCATAGTCACATATACAATCACAAAACTTTTTTTCTCAGAGTAAAGTGTTGTGTTCAATGTCTTGTATAACTTTCATCAACATGAATAAATGCTTTAACTTTAATTATGAACGCAATATGAAACATTCGCAGTAATAAACATATTATCATTGTCAATGTCATACCTCTAACTTGTCAGCTTCCACTCTATTTTGTTCCTCCAGTTGGGTTTCAAGGAAGGCTAAGTTACGGAACTTGATCATGTATGAATCATAAAGCTTCTGTAAGTCTTCTTCCAGTCTTTCATACTCATCCATGTACGCAGGTCTGTAAGATCAGAGAAAAGTGAATTGCATAAATGAACGAGACACTTAAGATGATCAACAAAACCTGAGACATACGAATGTAAAAGGAAGAGATAGTCGACCCTGCTCTAGTGGCCAAATGTCCAAGTAAATCACCTGCGCAAACGAACACTTACCACTTCTCCCCTTTTTTTCCCCAATAATATTACGATGACTCTGTCTTAGACAACTTGTTTTCTCCTGGACAATATCGAAAGTATTTCATATTTTTTTGAATAAAAATACACAAACATACCTACGCAAAAAGGATTTTTTTTTTTTTTGTTCCCTCAAAAGTTTCATCTTCATAGGTTTGAATGTCCTTTCCTTTCAAATGAGTAAGACTGAGAGATCTAAGGAAAACATAAACCCAGCCAAAAACTGACAACATGTTGTTGTCTTACTAAAAACATCTATGAAAGGCATGACAATTAGATGCAAAATAACATGCTGAATAGCTTTGCAAATAAATATATAAAATAGATAATACATCAGATAAAAAAATAGGTTTCACTGAGGGTAATATCACCCATTTAATGGCAGCATACAGATACAAACCTGACACTTTGTAAAGTCTGTAATCTCTTGTTATTTCTTTCCAACTCGCTTTTCCTTTTCTCAATCTTAGCCTCAAGATTTGCTTCATCTGAAGCAACATTGTCCAACATGGTGACTGTTTTCTGGATTTCATTCTGAGAAAGCAGCCATTCAACAGTTGATTAGGATTTATGACTAAATATGTCTAAATGTTGCAAAGTACAAGGAGTATTAGCAGGTGGAACATATAGATTTACAGTGGAAAATATATGGCCAAATTTTAATTTAACTTCACATTGACAATGAATGTAAGTTAATGTTTTAGCTAAAAAGACTTCAATGCCATAAAACTATTCAACTGCTATTTTTTACAATCACTGATATCTGCCCATGCAACATTGCTCCAGCAGGATCCTCCTCAATCACAGACAGTCTTTATTTATGTAGTGGTATTTTTCATCAATACTTTATTCAAATATTTCTCCAGTATGGCCATTGTCAGTCTAACTTCTTTTGAAAATTTTTATCCTGCAACTGCCCTGCAATCAAATTAATAATAATTGCATTTACAAAGCACATATCCACGCTCTACAGCACGCTCTATGCACTTTACAGCCATTATTACCCCAGCAATCCCGAGAACAAACAGAAACATTCTTGGGTTCTAGGGAAGTATACAGTGCAAGCTGCGGATTGCATGCGCTCAAACACTAACAAACTGACAAGACCTTGCGCTGGCTATAGCCTGGTACTCAATCCCACCTGGGTGAAGTGAGGAAAAAATCATGTAGAAAACCTTTCCCAAAGGACGTAACGTCGGATCCCGAACCCACAACCTTATGGTTGCAAATCTGAGAGTCTAACCATCAGGACACCAATGCCAAATTAAAATCTGATAAATAAAAATGAATAAACAACATCCTACTTTTCAAAAATATTAGATTTAATGACTATATATTTTACAATGTGTAATTGTCAACTTCTCTTTGGTATTAACGTCAGAATTTTCTGAACTCCCAGTTACCAAGCTTAAAGTTAATCCTTGCTCAAGCTGTGGACACTACACATGAAACTAATCAAAAGAAATATGCTGCTGTATGGAAAGACTTTATAGAAAAATTCAAGTATAGGAGTTTCTAAAAGACTTTACAAGTGATGATAATTAAGAACTAAAACGCATTGCGGCATAACTCAAAACATATAAAAAATGTACCATTTTTCCAGATTTGTTTCTTTAAAAAAAAAAAAAGAAAAAAAAAAAGAAATCGTTTATATGGAAAAAACAACAACAGCGTGTTCATTGAACATATTTAAAATCTCACCTGAACTGCTTCTATAGAAGCTTGCAACCCATGTTCAACTTCATTGATTTCTAGTGCTCTTGCCACAACCATGGTACGCTGCTCCTGTGTAAAAAATTGATGAACTGGAGGTGAGCTAAGCAGAGGAACATGATATTGTATCATGGAAACTGGAACATTTAATATTCCCTGATCAGTTCTCACACAACTGTGTACAGTAAACACCCAGGAAGAGAATTGAGTGAATCGGTGAAAGTCAGGGACTATTCTTTAACAAAATTCTTAATTGTTCAAATAAAAATATGCAAGGTCCACTTTCCTATTGAATAACCCAAAAGGCTAACTTCAAATATTATGAAATGAATAACAGGATAAAAATTATTTTTTAATTCAGTCAAAATTTTGTTTTAAGGAGAAAAAGAATCAACAAAAATATTACAGATTTCAGGATTCCTTGTATCAGTAATTATATTCACTTTGTTCTAAGAAATGCATCATCCTGAACTTGGGCTCTGTGTCTCTGTACTTAAGAAACCTCCTGGTGTGATACAACAGTTCACAAGATAAAAGGAGTGCCAGTCTTACCCTCAAGTCCACTTCCTTGCCAAGGAGATCATACAGCTGAGCACCTTTCACTGTAATTTCAGAGGCTAACCTTCTGGCTTCTTTCAACTCATTTATCTGAGGGAAAATCAAAATCAAGGAAAAAAATAATACATCCCTATCAGTTTGGTGTGTATAAGTATCTTAAAATTCACAATGAGTATCTAGTAAATCAGAGGATAGCATCTTTAAGGTAGGTGGCAAGTTCAAGAGACATGAGTTTCACCAGTGGGAGTAAACAATATATAACATCCTCATAAATTTTTCAATCAACCACATCCACTCTCCCCCTTCCCCCCAAAAAACAACAACATGACAGAAAGAGAAAGTGGGAAACATTACAATAAGAGCTTGTTAAAAAGACATTAATTATTCAACATTTTACTAAATACTTAAAAAAACAAACTATTACAAGATGACTGTTAGAATCATTTTTGTCTTATTTCTATTTTTTGCCCTTTGCATTCATTCAACTTAAAGATACATGTCTTCTTTTAGTTTCCTCTAAGGTTTGACATCAGGTAAATGATTACAAAAGATTATACATTTTCTGAAAAGGGGACAAAAAATGTTGATAAAATTGATTTTCAAAATGATGATCTAATTTTTTTTCCTCCTCTTCCCAATACCAAATGGAATGCTCCTTAACTCATTCGGGATGCAGGTTTTGGGCCAGCTTTGCACCCAGAGACGCGTGATTTTGGGTCAACTTAGAAAGTTTGCCATTTTTTCACCCTTTGTTATTTTTAAAGTCTGTTTTCACTATCGACAGATTCAACATTTGGACTTCGCTTAAGATCTAATCCAATTTACCTGGATATATTCCTAAACTTGCCAGGACCCCTACAAAAATGGTGTATGGGACCAAAAAAAAAAAGAATTTTTTTCCTCTTTGTTGACAGTGAAGAAATGCAGAAACAAACAAGATAAAGTTACAACACAACTACAATGCAGCTAAAAACGCATCACAACACAATCTACAATCCAAATACAGTAAAAGAAATAGTTCCAGTCGTTGTGAATAGTCCTTCTTTGTATGGTACTTCTCCAAGATTCGTGTTCTTTATCTCCTCGACTGCCTTCATAAATCGCCTCAGAAATTTTTTTAAAAATGACGCTATACCGTCAAGAGTAAATAAATACAAAATAGAATTTGGCTTAGCAATGTCAAACAAAAGTTTGTTCTGTGGAATACCTTCATTTGTGCTGCCACAACGGTAGAGAAATGCTATCGGACGTGCGTCTCCAACGGAGCTCAAGGCTATCGGGCGTCCCGAATGAGTTATCTACAGGATGGTGTTAAATATTTAAAAACCCAGGAAAATATAAGTACTAGCCCATCCTTTTGAAAATTAATTAGTTCACTGCACATCAGAGGCTCTATCAATTTTAGAGAGAATAGACTGCAATAAAAAAGAGTTCTCACAAAGATTGTTTTGACCTACCCTTGAGGACACGTCAAAAGAAACACTAGAAGCATCTCCTGCGCCCGCTTCCAAAGACCCAGCAACATTTGTTTTGGTTGCACTGTACAGCATAGAAGTTATTTTCAACATTTCCTTCACAGCATAGCCATCTGCACCATACAACTTCTTTGTATTGAGCTTTATGTGAGCCTTTGTTGCCTGAGGAAGAATTAAAAACAACAGAAAATTTCAGATTTTCAAAGACCAGTTTACAATTATTCAAATACAGTTGAAACTATCCAAGATAGCAAAATATTGTTTAGGAGAAAAGTGGTTGCCTTATACAGGTGGAGGTCATTACAATATAAAAATAAATGCAAGAGGAAAAGTAGGAAGTAGTCATTTGTTCAAGTGATTGTCTTGGACAGGTGGCTATTAGAGAAAGTTTAACTGAATAAACGGTAAACAAATCGGAAAAAATATCCCAAGATTTCACTGAAGAACAAAAGAAATGTACTTGAAAGAAAAGGGCGTTGGCTTACCATAAACTCTGCAACAGTTTTGATGAAGATCACACGATCCTGTTCTGTATCAATGTCTGGATGTACATCAGCATTAGGATCATACCTGAGGTTTAAGGAAAGAGACACAGCACAATTACTCGACAGCAGGGAAAACCATAAAACAAAATTTACACCTATAGCAGCCTCATCCATTATTATAAAGGGGTTGCTATTATAGTTTGTGGTCTACCTTGGTATCTGAGGTTTTCACATACAGCTGTGTCAACTACACACTACATCTTGTGCAAGTGAAGTGTAAAAGTGCAGGGTTATTGTATGCATCCAAGAAGAAATCTGACAGATAATAAAAAAACAACATATGATACTATTGTAGGGTTCCATATAAATTTTTGATTATATTAGATAAATACCTGTTTCCCTGTATAAATGGTCAACATTTAGAGAATATCACAATTCATTCTTTCTTTAACACAGAAGCATACAGTTGTTGTTTTGTGGCTTTCATCGAGACTGCATGCACGCAACGCTCCATTTTGCCTGGGTGCAAATGATTATAACAATTATTATTGAAATGCAATACAAGGAGCAGAGATGACACATCAGCACCCATCAGCCTTCAGCATTAGATACATATTTATGTGGATAGAGTCTATAGACTGAGCCCTATGTACGACTGGATTAAATAATCCTTTTCCCACTACTTTCCGCAAGCTTTCAAATTCTTTTCTACCTACTACTCAAGTCCCCTACCTAGTTGTCGGCTCAGCACATTTTGTTGCAAGGAGGTCATCTTTCTGATTGATCAGCATCACCATCATCATGATCTCCAACCCCATCAGGTTCATAAATTGCTCATGCGTGTATGTCTATGTCACTTAGAGATTTAAAATAAAGAAAAACATCCAAACAAAACCCTCCAAAAATTTTTAATTTTCAAACAGAACACTTTTGAATCATCAATACGATCAATTATCCTTGAGTACCCATAACCCAATAGATCTTTGCCTTTACAGTTACAGCATAATTCATATGTAACAGTCTTCCTTACCTTTTCATCAGCCATTTTAGGCATTCATACACCAATTTAAAGTTAGGTGTCCTGAAGTTTTCCATGGATATCAGTCGAGGGAAACCCAAGGCCCTCATCATTTCTGTAAAATCTGAAAAAGTGCACAGGAAAGAAATATTTTTTGTTCAGTTGGTTTGATCTAAAGTGGAGGTTTAATGAGAAAAAGTTTGATTTCTGTTCACTTTTTAAGAGCGAGGGAAGACCAAGATAGAACAGAGAACCTTGAGGACAAAAAAGCTGAGATAGCTATAAAGTCTGTCCTGTTTATCTTGACTTTGAATTCACTACAAGTACCTAAGTCAAGTTTGTATATATGTGTTTGTTGTGTTTAGTTCTGGGGAAGGGGAATCAGATACTTATTTTCAACATGCTGTGGATGAAAAAACTGGTGAAATATAATTTTAAGAGATGAACCATAAACCTATAAATTCTTAATCCTCTACATTAAAATGACACCAGTACAATTGTAGTGGTAAAATGAGCCACTTTTCATATGTCATAGTACCATTTTTTGGGTGTTTATTGAATGCACATATATTACCTTTATTGTAAATCAAAACAAAAATTATATACACCTACATCTTTTTCCCACTTAATGCAACCATAGTTCATCAAATGTTAGAAAACTTTTTTCCAAAATTTCAAAAGAAACCATATTACACATCATGTCACTCTAAAATGTTGCCACCCATACAGAACAAACAATTTATGAAGTTAAAGGTATGAGGATTCTTAAATCAGTTACAGAGCAGGAACAATGACACCTGAATTAAATCCTTTTCAATATTCAAATATAGCCCACCTTAACAATAGTGAGGTCAGATCAGATATATTGTTAAAATACTATTAAAATACGGTTTAAAAAACCCAATTTGCTTCAGTAAGAGTTTTACGGCACTCGCAACACAAAAAGGTCATATAAGAGCCGAAGATTAGAGGTGATACAAGACAGTAACAAGCACAAAAAGGAAGGAGGACAAATGAGGATGATAGATGTTTGATAAGAAAGAAGGAGCAAACCAGTCCAGAGGGTGGGTGGGGTGGGTGCTCTGGTGTTGCAAGTGCCGTAAAACTCTTACTGAAGCAAATTGGGTTTTTTAAACCGTATTTTAATAGTATTTTAACAATATATCTGTCTGTCCAGCTCGATCCCAAGGTAGGTCGGGTTTTCAACTTTTTCTAGTTTGTTTCCTGCAAGTAAGATGGTGAGATTTTGCTTTGCAACTTTGTGGCTTTTTGTAAAGACGGTGTAGATTGTCTTGGTACAATTTGCTTTTAGTTTCCACTTGCAACAGTAGTTGTTGAATCTATCTAGATCCTCATTTATAAGCCGTGCACTGATGCCTGCTTGTTTACTTGTATGCCAGATGGCTAGGTCGTCGGCATATAGGGCCTTCTCTGATTTCAGTGTCTCAGGCAGGTCGTTGATGAAAACAAGGAAAAGTGTGCAGCTCAGAGAGGAACCCTGGGGTAGGCCCTCCTCCAGTACAGCTTTGGATGACACACCATTGTTAATCCTGGTCTGGATTGTCCTGTCTGTAAGGAAGATCTTCACCGTTAAAGTTTCCCGTGGATTCCTGTCTGTGTCATCTTCCACAGGAGGCCTTTTCTCCATACCCTGTCGTAGGCTTGCTGGAGATCAACGAATACTGCAACTGCGTGCTTCTTTTCGTGGAAGCCATCAAGGACTTTCTGACGGAGCCTGAAGAGCTGGTCATCTGTTCGTTGGCCCGCACGAAATCCTGCTTGGTTGCTGTCCAGGGCACCGGTTGTTTCCAACCACCAGTATAGGCGGTGGTTGACCATTCTCTCTGCCAGTTTCCCGACGCAAGAGGTGAGTGAAATGGGTCGCAAGGAGTTAAAATATAGTCTAGAAAATATTGTACTTCTATTTATGAACCCTGATCAGGGAATAAACATCCATGACAAGGCTTGAAGGGTATTGCTTTCAGATGTAAACATCAAGTAGGTAGTTAGTTAATCTAACCAGATAATGGCAGTGGGGTAACAATAGTTGTAGTCATCATAACATAGCAACACCAATCGAGCTTGCTTACGTGATGAAATTTAGGTCACCCCTTGCAGGAGTATTTTTGGACCAGATGGGAATATAGAGGTGACTAACTTTCAAACTTTGTCAGCATTATTTCTGGACCAATAAGAATGAAACTTGGCAACCCGCTAGAAAATAAGACAAACTAAATATAAATGGACCCCTACCCTCCCACTCCCAGTCTAAAGTGGCCATGTAAAGACACCAGCCATTTTTTTTCGCAAGCCTTTGACAAATGTAGACCTATAAATCCCTGCATGATTATTCTGAGCCCTGTCACTGGTAACTTGAAACAGGGCATTGCCAGTGCTCGCATCCCATATTTTTCTCTCTGTTCCCCTATGATAATGAGGTGGAAACATTGTATCAGGGGAAATAGAAAGTTCTCTAATTGTAAGGCATTTTTTTTCAATTGATACAAATATTTTATGGTTGGCATGGTTGGAAGTCAACAAAGAATTTTTTACCATTACTAAGTCATGCCCATAATCTCATGATATGATACAACGCTATTATAAATAAAATGCTTCATTCCGACACCCTCTTTCTAAAAAAAAATGCTATGAGTACACTCAAACTTTTTCCTATAAATAACAAATTTTCGAAATAACTAGGCTATAAAATGGGTGTTTTCGCCATGAATACCGTGGGGGTGTGTTAATCGATGATTAAAATAATGCTCTATCTTTTATATTATAGCTGTCTATTCATAAAGTGTTGTGAACACCTGAATAACCCCTCTCATAGGGTGATAAGACATTGTGAGTAGTTACGCCCATTCTAATAACCTTTTTAGAAGCTCTTGTTGCTATGAATGATCTGAGGCTCAAAGGGGAATAATATAAGTCAATTTCCATAGGTTTTGCTCTCAAATAGTTTTTTTTTGCAGGCACAATGGTATTCAAAACTAGATGGTGGAAATACGTCATCTAGAATCTAGAATCTATATTTTGGCCAATCACAGAGGGGTGCGAGGTGCTTTTGCTGTGAAAGTGGCTATTCTCACCCGCCCGGAAGTTCTCGCAAGATCAACTCCTCCCCTCTTCTCTCTCTCTCTGTCTCTTTCTGAATACTGTCTATCGGTGTGGACGATCAAATTGACCAAAACAAAGTTAAAAAATGATGTTAAAACACAAAAGTAAATTAATTTGGTTGTCTACAAAGATGCTACGGCTATTTAACTTTTCGAATCGAGCCGTACGACGCGGGTCGCCATTTTGTTTTGCCCGGAAATTCTCACGCTACTCCTCTCTCTCTTTCTCTCCACTGCCCACAGACAAAATTGTACGCTTTTAGTAGGCTACAGTTGTAATGGAACGCATACCTGCCAACATTGCCTGGGCCAAAATCTGTAGTTGGACGCAAATTTTTGTCCAAAAATCTGTAGTTGACCTAAAAAATCTGTAGTAGGCTATATTACCTCTTGTCGCATACTTAATTTGGGACCCTTATCAATATTTTATTTTGACCCACATCAAATATGCATGATTGTGTTTGCGACTTCAAACAAATGTAGAAAATTACACCAAAAAAAAGAAACAAAAAAGACAAATATGAAAACTACCAGAGCCATTTACCCTATTAGTAGTTGGTGCAGTTCCTGTCCTATTCATACCTGCACGCACACACACAAATGAAACCACCCCCCCCGCCGACACAAAAAAGAAGCAAAGAAGAAAAGATGGGCCTTGGATGACTTAGGCCTAGCGTTAGCCTTTTGTCTTTGCAGAGTTTACAAGGAAAGAGTATGACGGATCCCGAGTCCACACAAGGCCTGCACCAACATGCGTTTTGCAGAGAGTTTTCTAGATCTAGATATAGATCTAGATCTAGTGGTAATCAAAAATTTAGAATACTAAAATTTGCTTCCAAGTTCAGTTTTTGTCCCCTGGTGTTGCCTTCAACCCCCTCCCCTCCCCCGAGTGTATCTTTAAATAAAATACCCCCCTCCCCTCCATTCCGGAGTCCTATACTACGCAGCGCTCAGACTTTGAATGAACTTTGGTGACCCCTACAAGTGCCGGTGCTCAAAATGTGATGCAACGCGCAAGTTCATTGACCGGTCACAATGGCGAACCCGACAAGACGCTTGTATGACTATAACTTTCTTTTCTTTTCTTTTTCACAAGTGACGGCACAGGACAAATATTGATTTATTTTCAAGGCGGCACAGCGTTTGCCATGCACAGCCTGCATGTTGTTACAATTAATGTTGCGTTATCAAACTACTATCAGCAAATTTCTGGGTGGTAACGAAAGTGAAAGTATATCTTGATTGTCTCGATCAAACGTCGGTATCACACCCGCTTGCCACCATAGCCGCCTGTCTGCGTGAAGAAACATACTCTTGAGGGAGCCGAATGAATCACAATCGCGACCGGCAAAAATGAACTTACGGGCGTTATCGGATTTAGTTTTCAAATATTCGATAACTTTCTCAAATTCCCGGGTAATTCCCGGGGCCTGGCAGTCACCCTGCTGAATCCCGAAGTCGGTGGCTTCATCTCAAAATCGGTGGATCGGTAATTTGACCCAAAAGTCGGTGATCTACCGATTTTTTCTGTAGGGTTGGCAGGTATGGGAACGTTTGTTCACGGCACAGAATTCTACAATTTTTCTGTTATCACAGTGTAGAATTCTGTGGTTCAGGGTGAACGCAAAATTTGGTGAACGCGCAAGGGGTGAGAATAGCCACAAGACTCGCCTGCACTATTCTCACTCCGGGTGAGAATAGAGGTGGCCTTTTGCTGTAACCTTCATACTTCATGTGTTGACACTTCACCCCGTCTCTCAATAGTTTACATTTAAAAGAATAAAGTCTGCCTAAATCAAGATTTGGATATTTTTTTTTGTATGTGTGCAATAACAGGACCTTGTCAGTATCCTCAAACTCAAACTGAACACCCCCCCCCCCCCTCCCCTCTATCTCGTCTCCTACAATTAATTATCGATATTAGGCATCTGAAGTGGTTTGTACAGAACAGTAGTCTTTATTTCTTTCAAATTTGTAGCTTTGAGAAAATAATGCTAACTCTATTTTATTATAACTATAAAGGCACTTACTTCTTAAATCTTTAAAACTCATTTCGGCTGGTGAGCGATTGTGCACTACAGTATTCAAAACTGGAATGTAGAAATAGAGAGTTCCGTTTCAATTCCAACTGTGGAATTTACGACTGTGAAGCGCCATCTGTAAACATTTTTCGCACCATGGTGAAGAGAGTAAAGGGGGCATAACTGTGATAAAAATGTGCCCACAATTTTTGCTTCGAAAAACAAGTTATTAATTACAATCTTGATGACCTCCCTTGGTATTGTGGAGGCAGGTCGGGAGAAGAACAACACACTGCCCACATTGCCCTCATACTTCGCTCATACTTACTTTGATACATCGGTTGAAGAGTTTGTTATTTGAAAAAAGAATACAAAAGAATACGAAACAATCCACCGATGATAGCCCACTCGCTCAACTTTCTTTAGGTCCTCCTGTTTGATGTCATTCATTGAAGAAGAAGAAGAAGAAGAAGAAGAAGAAGAAGAAGAAGAAGAAGAAGAAGAACAACAACAACAACAACAACAACAACAACAACAACAACAACAACAACAACAGCAACAACAATAGCAACAATAACATCAGCACCCCCTCCACATAAAAAAAATCGGTAACAGACAACAAAAAATACCCAGTACAAATCAGATAACAAGGACGATTTTCATCTCATAATTCCAAAGGTGGAAATCTAGGCCTATGTCAACATCAAATTTATTTGACCTTATAAAACTTACATAACACTCTACTACTGTAAACAAGGGGGGAATGTAACACAAACACGCAATTACTGTGTAGGTCGAGACCATTTCGGCGCAGCTTTTAATTTGTCGGCGCAGCTTTCAATTTGTCGGCGCAGCTTTCAATTTGTCAGTGATCCTCAACTTTCAAACCGACATCTATGGTGCAGGATTAGGCGCTTCCCCGTTCGATTACAATTGTGAGGAGAATTCTTATTGAGTATCTCCATCTTCTTGCTGGGAGGGACTTTGTATATCTTTCAGATCGGGTTTGCTCTGGCAGGCAGGGAGGAAACCCGCCTCCTAAATGATCTTAATCGTGTCGATAAGGGGGTACAATTTCTGTAATTTATACATTTTTATCAGCTTTCAAACATTGCACTGCCCTACTGACTGAAATAGTCTTTAGTTCATTTCCAAAGGGGGGGGGGGGGGGATATCAACATGTTCTTATGCACAGTAGAATTGTAATTTTATGTAAATTTACCAATGTCTGCTCCTACTGTGACGGAACAACATATAGGTGTCCCGACGTGGTAAACAGGCGCTCGTCAACTTTTGGGCATATGGAGTTATTGGTATCATCTTAAAGGGTTTTCATTTGCCTTGCTTTTGATGAAAAAGATATCCTTTTTATCTTGAATAGAAGTCGAGATATTTGCGATTGAAGGAGGTGGGATCGCCTGGATTCAGAAGTAAAATTGGCGAGAAAATGGCCGCCAAAGTTTGGTGACTCTCATAGCTCAGGAGTCCATGGAAAGAGCAAATTTACAGTTTTCGTGCCGTTGATCAACGCTTTTCCATAAAATTCACCCTTAAGACTGTTTTTGAAAGGACAAAAAAGGTGTTGAGTCAAAAGAACAAAACATCTATAAAAATTGTTAAACCAGCAGAAAAATGTCGTTTTTGTTTCAATTTCATTATTTTGACGAGCGCCTGATTTTACCACGATGTCTCACAATATTTAGGGGGAACTGCTGCTTTTTCTTTCCTCATCCTTACTATCTTCGTCATTTTCCCTCTACTTCTTTTTTTTGTTTGTCACTCTTTTGTGAACTGCTATTTCCGGGGAGCCTTGATAGTCAAAACAGACTTTATGCTGTTGAGGCTAGTGAGGTGTGCAGAGTAAGCCTGATTCTCGTTTTGGACTTCTCTTCTGACATCCACCCCTTGGCGTTCATATCATGACCTTATTCAGCTGCAAGCGCCGTAAAACCTTATTAAAACAAAAATAAAACATTGCACTGCAAATAAAATCTTTAAGATGCTTATATTACGATCGCATTTAGAGTAAACTTTTTGCTCATGAGATGAGCTCATGCATTCACTTTCAGGATGAACTTTTATTCATAGACCATGCCGCAAAGATATACATTGTATTGATTATCGTGCCCTTTTGTCTAGCCTATTAAGGATAGTTTCGGGGAACATTTATGAGCTTAATGGAAATTAGTAGAGATGAATACTCGACCACCTTATGCCCTTCTCTCTTCGAGGTACCCACTCTCAATAGTTTACATTTAAAAGAATAATGTCTGCCTAAATCAAGATTTGGATATTTTTTTTTGTATGTGTGCAATAACAGGACCTTGTCAGTATCCTCAAACTCAAACTGAACACCCTCCCCCCACCCCCCCCCCCCCCCTCCCCTCTATCTCGTCTCCTACAATTAATTATCGATATTAGGCATCTGAAGTGGTTTGTACAGAACAGTAGTCTTTATTTCTTTCAAATTTGTAGCTTTGTGAAAGAAATGCTAACTCTATTTTATTATAACTATAAAGGCACTTACTTCTTAAATCTTTAAAACTCATTTCGGCTGGTGAGCGATTGTGCACTACAGTATTCAAAACTGGAATGTAGAAATAGAGAGTTCCGTTTCAATTCCAACTGTGGAATTTACGACTGTGAAGCGCCATCTGTAAACATTTTTCGCACCATGGTGAAGAGAGTAAAGGGGGCATAACTGTGATAAAAATGTGCCCACAATTTTTGCTTCGAAAAACAAGTTATTAATTACAATCTTGATGACCTCCCTTGGTATTGTGGAGGCAGGTCGGGAGAAGAACAACACACTGCCCACATTGCCCTCATACTTCGCTCATACTTACTTTGATACATCGGTTGAAGAGTTTGTTATTTGAAAAAAGAATACAAAAGAATACGAAACAATCCACCGATGATAGCCCACTCGCTAAACTTTCTTTAGGTCCTCCTGTTTGATGTCATTCATTGAAGAAGAAGAAGAAGAAGAAGAAGAAGAAGAAGAAGAAGAAGAAGAAGAAGA